AGTAACGACCACTAAAAAGCGACCACGCCACTTCCCCACGTACGGTTGCTCCTAGCGAAGCCGACGGGTACTCGCCTCCCTCGCACTCGTTCTAACGTTTCTCCGGAGCATACACTGCTTTCGCACGTGTGTCTACTCGAGACAATGTTGCCTCTTCTAGCCACTCGGAGAACGGAAGGCCTCTCGTGCTGTCTGGAGGAAGACAGGAAGACGGTGTATGATCCACGCGGGTTTCACTCTCGCCAACTCGCGGGGTTTCTTGCGAGCACCGTTGGGATCATTGTCCTCTCGTGCAATGATCTCCGTTTATTTGCGAAAAGTCGAATTACGGGAACTTTCCTCCAACTGACAATTTCGATGTCGCGAAATGTTGCCGTTGACATTTTCGTAATCAACGCTTCTCCCCGTGTTCTGTGCAAATTCTCTTTCCCTGTGAGCGACGTTGTGCGCTGGCAAACTGAGTGAGTGGCTGGCGGCGATTTTCCCATCTGAATATCGAGATACTCGATCTCTCTCGCGAGATGAGAAGCCGGTTTAACTGCACTTCTCTCGTCGTAACATCCGTCAATGCGCTATAGTGCGTATTCGCGACTCCCGCGCGCGGCTACGGCTACGGTTACGGTCGAGACGCGACGGTAAAACGTGCCGTCTTTTCACCGCCTATGAATAGCAAACGTCTCCGCCGCGTTGAGCTCTTTTCGGAGCTCGAAGCGACACGCGCGAGACTCGCGACTCGAGATTCTCTCGATGCGCAGCGGAGAGAAGAGAGAGAGAGAGAGAGAGAGAGAGAGAGGGGGAGAGAGAGAGAGACAGCTTTTCACGTATCCCGAATCCTCCGAGATGCGCGCGAACGCGAACGCGAGCCCGCGTCGCGGGCCTTTCATCGTCATCCACCGGGCTGCTTTCGGGTCCTTTCGAATGCAGTCCTCGATTTCCCGATACAGGCAGACAACTTTGCACAATCTGCGAGATTGCGTGCACGCGACGACGGCCAACTTTTCCCCACGAGGGGGACGATGCATTGCGCATAATGCACAACGCTCAGCAACGTGCACGTCCACTTATCCTGTCGCTCGATCGCACTCTCGCCACGTCGGGAATATAATCATCTCGCGTAATAGGCTCGGCAGAAACGGCCGATAATGCCCCCGCTGATCGTATCGCCGCGTCGCTTTAATTTGCTCGACTCGCGACGCGCCTCCCTTTTCCAGTCATTCCTCGCGTTTGCTTCCCCAACCCGATACGATAGTTTTCGCAATAAAAGGAAAAAAAAATAGAGAGAAAAATACCACGTCCTTCTCGGCAACGAGGGTCGAGCGCGTCGAAGTCATCGACAACGAAGCGTTGCTTCCACGTGTACGTGCGCGCACACCTTACTGTTTCACCACCTCCGCCGCCCCCGTAACGTCGTTAGCGAGCGCGCCTCCGTACCGTGGCCGAAAGTTCCTAATTTCCTAATTTAATACAAAGTTAATAAAGCCCCGGGACGCGCGTATTTTCCGATTACTTGGCGCCGTGTTACTCGCGCGCAAACGTATTTTAGATACACCCGCCGAGCCCCGTAGATCGTCTAACGAGCGAGCGCGCGAGTTCCCGAGTTGATTCGTTTAACTGGAGAATTCCTAGGTTGATCGTATTTTCGTATCAAGTATCACTTGTTACGCTATACTCCTTAATCGCAAAGACATATCGCGAGGGGTATTATATATGGAAATGAAAGTTATTACTATATATGACTTAATATTTCACGGAAAACATAATATTAGTTGGCTCACACATAAATCTGTCTGTGCCAAATTCGATAGTAAAATACGAAATAACTAATTATACGGTTGCCGCAACCACAAAGCAATTGCTGAGTCACTGACATTGCGGCAGTGACCATGTATGGTTGCTCCAACCAGAATGAATCTATAGTAAATGTCATCCGAACCGATTTCTGATTGCCACAAACAGATCACGCGCAACTGCATTGATGTAGTTGATGTATCAAAGTAACTGAATTATATCAACATACACATTACCATCATACAAAGATAACCGTGGTTGTGCTGTTGGAAGCCAAATATTTCTGCTAATGTGCGCCATATCTTTTTTTGTGATACAAATTATTTCTTACATTTATATATATAAGTTTGTATTTTAATTTTATATTTATATTTATTTTATTTATATTTATTTATACACACACATTAATCAGGATTTTTATCTTTAGTTTAATAATTCTACTTGCACATAAACATCTGAATCCAGACACTCTATATATCTGAATCAGAGAGTAAAGTTACCATTATTATCATTTTACTTTTCTTTTAAATTGCATATCTTTATATCCGTCAGAAACATAAAATTAACGCTTCGCATAACAAATCCGAGCCAAAGTTTCCCATTGGTTTTTGAGATAAATTAACGTCTACTTTAACGCAAACACAAGAACCGATGTCTTTCGTACTTATATGAATACGTTACTCGATCCTTACTCCAAAGAAGAACAATTCCACGTCCACGGTAAACGCGATAATTTTTCCTTTCCAACGGTTTTTGTTCCAAGTTGCTACGACGTCTACAAGTGGAGTTTTTTATTGACGTTCGTATCGATCTAACCCTTTCACGTACTGAGGGGTAGGTCACGCGTGGAGCGACGTGCAAACGGAGAACAATAATCACATTCCCAGACCCTAATTTGGGAAACGATATCTCACGAGGACGGTAGACTGCTAGCGGGACTCATCAGCCCCCATTTTGTGGGCCCCAGCGTAGGCGGCGATCCCCCAAGCTGGCGCTTAAGGCCGTATCAAACTACCGACTGCACAGGCCGACCCGACTGCCGACTCTCAATGGATCAATCACAGTGAGGCGCCGACTTTGGCAGTCGGGTCGACTGCAGTAGGTAGTCTGATACGGGCTTTAGCCTCAAGATCGTAGACTTCGTAAGACCCACGAAACTTTCCCCAATTTTGTATGTGCGTTATCTCTACATAATATTATTTCCATTTACACTACCAACACATTTACATTATTATTATTACAACAATAGCATTTACAGTTCCGATAAGAACTTTTGAAAAATTCGAGGAGGTTCCATGGGTCTTATGAAGTTGACGGTCCTGAGGCTAAGCGTTGCGACAGACAGTCGTGTGGCTCACTAGTCCCATTCCACGAGCCCCTCAAACGTCTATTCCGCTTATCCTCTTTTAAAGTAAGATGAACAAACACGTGGCTGCAGCGAACACGTGACCGTTTGGTCGACTTGGCGCCTCACTGTGATTGGTCCATTGAGAGTCAGCAGTCGTAGTCAGCAGTCGAGTCGACTTGTGCAGTCGGCAGTGTGATACGGGCTTTAGCCTCAAGACCGTAGACTTCATAAGACCCACGAAACTTTCCCGAATCTGGGACTAATCTTGTATGTGTGTTATCTCTACATAATAATATTTCCATTTACACTACCAACACATTTACATTATTATTATTACAACAATAGCATTTACAGTTCCGATAAGAACTTTTGAAAAATTCGAGAAGGTTCCATGGGTCTTATGAAGTTGACGGTCCTGAAGCTAAGCGTTGTGACAGACAGTCGTGTGGCTCACTAGTCCCATTCCACGAGCCCCTCAAACGTCTATTCCGCTTATCCTCTTTTAAAGTAAGATGGACAAACACGTGGCTGCAGCGAACACGTGACCGTTTGTTCCGGCTACGTGCTTGCTACTGCCACGTGATCGTTCATCTCAGAAAAAGATAAGTATAATAATGTAGTGTGCCGACGTAACAGCAGGTAACACGGTCGGTTTGACACTAATGCCGAAGATTGACGGCTTTTAACAGCTTTGAACAGTTATTGCTCGGAAATGAGACGACATAGCGACACGAGACGAAAAGCAATCTCTTTGGCATGCGTGCCCACCGCGCGCATTTATTCTGCTCTTTTATCAGTATTTGGAAGAATCGAGTGTCGTGATCGATTAAAGCGCGGCAAAGGCTCTCACATGAGCAACACGCAATCTCTTTCATTCTCGATCGAACCGATTCCTTTCTTCGTCTCGTCTATTGTAATAGCGACGAGATTAATATCGTATTGTGACAATGAGGAGATTAATATCGTTACCGTGGCCGAGAAGCAAAGGAATAATTATCTTAAATAGCATTCGATAGTCGTAAAAATTAAAAATCTCGAACACCTTTCGAATTCCTTTCTTCGTCCAGTCTATTGTAACAACGATGAGATTCATACTGCCACCGTGGATCGAGGAGAGGCAAAGGAACAATTATCTTAAATTATATCTTGGTAATGATAAAAATTGAAAATTGCGAACTCATTTACCATCGATGTGCGTCTCGATATTGATAAAGGTACATCGTACATAATGTAAGTCGTCCTATTCGTGAACTTCTTGAAATTGAGGACGTTGGGAAAGTCAACAAATTGTGTAGATGAAATCTGGCGGGCGGATCGCTGTATAAATAAGGGAGTGGAAGCTCTTCTCGATAAGGCTAAATGTATTACGGATATTCGTTATCCGTTGTCAGTCTAAGCACCTTGAAAGCTCCCGGGTGGTTTGTAAGCAGAAAGACGTAATTCATTCGCATCGCGCTGTTATAATTCTGTTTTTCTCTTAGCTCGCCGAAAATTAATTAACTCGCGTAATCGCGCCAGCGTTATTGAACGTATCCATAAAACAAACGGTACTGCACGTTGCTTTGTAAGAACGATTATTTTAAACATAGCGATCGCGAGAAGATCAAACGTTACACACGAGGTAGCAAATTGCAGTTTGCAGTAAGAAGCACTTATTAAAATATTCCGCTCGAAAAGTTCGCTGATTGTTAAAAGAAGATTCGAACAAAAGTTCTGCAGTCTTTAACGAGCACGCGAGTAGACGTCCGAAGACTTTATTTTACACTTTGCGCCGGATTGCTGCGCGTTGAAACTGCGAGACCTTTTAATGTTCCTTTATCTTTATAATCCAGATATTAATTGTCGTATTTTTGTGTAATTGCAGGTGACGGGAAGAAATGTGATAACGTCAAGAAATCGCTCGACCCGAGTACATACATATCGTCGACACATATACACACATATATACATATATATATATATGAGAATCATAAATTGAATATCTTAATCATATCTCCAGTCCGCGATCATAATTCGTCAAATTATTATCTAACTTTCCCTGCGGAGGGAATAAATCAAACACATATCGATTGCCAAACGTATCGCTGCATCGTTAAGAGACACCTGAAAACCCCGACGTCTGGTATATACATATATCGTAGAATTACTTTCACGCGTAATTCAGCGGCCGACTCGTTCCGCTTGGTGCGCGTGTGTGTGATCGTCTATTTATCTATCTGCATATCCGTCTATTATCAGTATTTCCAGAGATCAACTCGAAGTAGCGTCAAACCGCCGAGACGATGACGTGCAAATATACGCGGTCGCGAGGAATTGTTTGGCTCGCGCGTCAATGACTCGTCTCTCGTGATAAAAGATCGCGACCCCGATTGACCCCCTTCATTGTGAAATTCGCGATCGCTCGTTAAATCGCAAGAGAGCAACGCGATCTCTTCTTATTAGTCGGGCGTTTAATTAGCACTCGCGATCGCGTCCGAAAGGAGAGGAGGGACCAACACCCGAGAGCTGGACTTGGAGCCCTCTCTCTCTCTGCCTCACCCGACGTCATTCGGCGGCTCGCTGGTGGCAGGTCGAGGCGAGCGGGGGCGTGAGGATGTTGCTGAAGTAACACGACATTTCGAGGCCGCACGCTAGAGAAGCCACGATAATCGCAGCGAGCGCGCGGACGAGGAGGAAGGTGTCGATCGCAGGCGCACAAAGGCCCAGGATCGTAGAGCGGCGGTAGGATGGGCTTTCCCAGGAGAAGGTCTCTGTGGCTGAAGGTGGCGTTGCTGGCGACCGCCGTGTGGGTGACCGTCTGTTTCCTGCTGTACACGGAAGACCGGACGGCCGCGGCCGTCGTTCAGGGTTTGGCGCCGTCGGGCGCCGCGATGCCGCAAGCGGGGAACAGCTTTGTACCGCCCGCGGCGCCCATCAGGAAAGAGACGGCCGGGGGTGCGTTCAATAGAGCGAAGATCAATCAGGCTGGGCCCGAGCAAGGTAATTTTGAGCGAGCGAGCGAACAGGTAGCTCGTTTCTTTTTAGTTTTAGTATAGCCTTTCGAGAGGTCAATTTTTGCCCGGTCTCGCGCGATCCACGTGAATGAAGATGACAGACTGGGTGAAAGCGAGACTGAAGGCAAACACGAGGAACTTCCGGAGTCGCTTCCGTGCATTGACGAACTCTTCGTGCGTGAAGACGAGAGAAAGAGAGAGAGAGAGACACGTCTCCTCTCGTGGTCGTTTGATCGAGTGGTGGCGCGTTTCGTTCATCTTCGGCGCGATATCTTGCCGATTTCGACGAGCAATGGTGGGTCACGTTTACGCGGCGGTTCGCAGGCATGAATCACGCGTGTGAGGAAATGGCTTAATAGGCTGGCATACCACACATGGGTTAAGCGCGAGTTTAGGTCTTAATAAGCTGATAGATGTCCCTTCTGGAATGTGTACGGTCCGCGCATGAATCATACCGAGAATGTCGGGTTACTTCGAGCCACCTGTGGCTTAACGCGCATTTCCAAGGCGTTTTTCGCCTAATTCGCACTGATAGAAGTTTCTTAATTGATCTTCCGAGGCATCGGATCGTCTGACAATCGTGCCCGTCCAAGGAGAGCGATTTATTCCGTGGCGAATTGACTTTTCCATTTTTCGCGCGATATCTCGAACTGTTTATACTTTTCGCTTACGTGTGTCGGTCGCAAAGCGCGAATAACGGAAAATAAAAGCGGCCCGCCGCCAAGGAAGAACGCACCACGAGATGGGATCGTGCATTCAGTAAAGCAGGATTCTGAAAGACGAGAGTTCACCTGAGGCATCGCTGCCACGAGTGCAATAAGGACTCGTTGGTAGTTCATCCACCGTATGCGCATCCTCTTATTGCCAGACGCAAAGTACGAGAATAGGGCTTTCATAGTACATGGATCATCCCGGAGATATTGTCGGTGTTTCGCACCAAGCGAGCGACGCGATATATTAGCTGGTTGCTTGTCTGTAAGCGAGAATCCTCAAATGATGAACTTAGAGGAGCAGCAGCCGCGCCGTCGTCGGTTCATCGTCGTCGTTTCGCCTCTCGCGAAGTCATAGTCGCGCGTTGGAGCATCTCTCGACGCGCGCCCGCCCGCGAGAAATGACGTGCTAATGAATTTAAACGGCTCCACGCTCGCGCTCGAGTTACGCGCGAACATCACGCAGACTCTTGACGTTGAGAAACGAACGAGAAACTCATCTCTCGTCTCTCGTGCGCGCGGCGATCTCTCCCCAAGAAAAGCGCACCGTGTGTAGTCCAGGGCGCGGCGCGTGATGCACGACACGAGTTTCACCGCCGAACTTCGTGGCGGGCCGGGGTCGCGGCACTAAAGCAATTTGTCGTCCTCTTTATTGCCGCATCGTACACACCGGGGCCCAACTTTGTCGAGCGGGATAAAATTATTTTCAGGACAGGCGGGCGGGCGGGCGCACCAGCCAGCCAGCCAGCCATATCGCACGGCGTACTTACCTCGTTGGCTTTAGCAGCTATGCTGCGCCAATATGGCGCCGGCAAATAAAACCGGAGTTTATGCGAGAAAGCTCTTAGAAGGTATACTCTGGTGTACGGTATGCCTGGCAAATGTGGATGTGCTGAAAATTCAATTCCCGATACCCTTTTTCCGCCGCGTCGCAGTCGACTCGTTCCTCGTCGCGTGGACGTTAAGTGAGGGCCGTGGGCTCCTCCGGCCATACCGTGCGGGGCAACAGCGGGAAACGAAACCGAGGTTAAGACGCGGAACAGAATCGCATACGGTAATGTACGAACGATGCCGCAAGTTGTGTCGCCGAGTTGTCTGTCGACTTTCAACTTTGTCGCTGCACGAGAAGTGTAGGAGAGTTTTCTCCAAGACTAGATGCCCACACAGAAAAATGCATATCGCGTTCGAGTAACTTGTTTCAAGTATTTCATAAGTTTATATGCTTGGATATCACAAATATGCATAGATTTATCAAATAAGTATAAAGTTTGTTCCAAAAACATTTTGATTCTTGGTAGGCATTTCAAACTCAAGAGTATTAAATTAAAAATTCGGTTTCCCCACTCCATAGAGTCGAACTTTTCCTCCGATATTAATATACGATGATAATATACTTGTAAAAAGAATTTCTCTCTTTTGAATACATGATAATAAGTTTTTCTAAAATTTGTGATAAGTATATTTTAAGATTATTGTTAAGAAAGCATCCTTTGTTGAGTATAATCAAAAGAAAAAAAAGTAAACTGAGCAATTACTTTTGTTAGCAGTAGAATGATATTTTTCTGTGTGTACATGGGAGCTATTAAATAAGTAAACAATTTTACAATATATCTCAGTCTCAATAGTCGGGTTAAAATAATTATCGTAATTAAAGTATATATTAGGTTGGTAGGAAAAATTCGTCATTTTTCTATTAAATTCTCTTAGGAGAGGTTTAGATATTTAAAGGAAAATATAAAATCTCCACTAAATGTCTAAAAAAATATCAAGTCGATACTCATTTTATTTCTAAAAATTATTAGTCCTCTGAAACTGAATAATTTCATTTCTTATTTTGTTTGGCAAACAAAACAAACATTTTGCAGCAACCTAATATATGAAAAGTTTTAAAACGATCAAATTAAAAATAATATTAACAACTGGAGACGGCTATTCGCGTTTCTACGTCAGCTTCGAGTTCACCTAGTTTGATCAGTGCGGCAAAACAAACTAATTACGGCGAACTAAGTTGAACGAACAAACAGGACTCGTGATACTTTGCCGATCAACTAACTGACCGATTCGCCGACACCCTCGTCGCTCAGCCGCAATTTCTTGACGGTCCAGGTGGTGGAGTGCTGGCCGCACCGCGGGACCTGGATGCCGGGCCGGGCGAAATGGGCAGACCCGTGATACTGCCGACCAACATGTCCGCACAGACCAAGAAGATGGTGGACGAGGGCTGGCTCAACAACGCGTTCAATCAGTACGTCAGCGACCTCATCTCCGTGCACAGGTCCTTGCCCGACCCACGCGACCAGTGGTGAGTCCAGCTTCATTCACCTAGTTGTAATTTAAGCGCGCTACTGCTCGTCAGATTTCACCATTCGTTAGCCATTTAATCTCTCGTCGTCGTCGTCGTTCCTGCCCCGGAGAAGAAAAGTGTCGTTCCAAGGAACATTTTATCGCGAGTTGGTGGACGCGTACCGCCGCAAACTGTCACGTAAAAGACACGCGTTCCCGCGCGGCGTCTCTCCGTGTGCTTTATTACACTCGTAGATGCAATCCCCCTTCATCAGTACGACGTATTCGCCGGGGACTCGCGGGACGAAACGAGAGGGAGGTAACAGAGATATACGCAAAGTGAACGTAAAAAACCTCAGGCGCGTTCAAACGTAACGAAACATCTCCGAGTCCCGCGTTATATCCGTCCGTAAGGAGGATACGCTGTATCCCCCGGGGGGACAAGGGGACACGGAGAGTAACGGCGGGTGAGGAGCGTTTCGCCGATCGTGGCAGATAGGCCGGCGCGGTAATGCGTCGGAGAATCGTAGCCGTAAATGTCCCACGCCATTTTCTTTTACTGCGAATGCCGGCATCATAATGCGGTCGTTGATAAAACACCGGCGGGTCGCGGAGGTCGCGACGCGATGCGAGCCGGCTATCTCTCCCGGCTCGATCCTACACGCTCCTTCTTCTCTCATGTTCTCTCTCCCCTCCCCCCTCACTCTCTCTCTCTCTCTCATGCTCTCTGCTGCTCTCGCGAGAACGGCCATCGTCGGCCATCGTCGTCGTCCCTGCGGAGCCTGGCCGATGCATGCAGAAACGAATTGTATGAGAAACGGTAACCATGTTATGGATAGTTTTGAGTCGACGCTCCCCTTTGTGAGCGCCATGTACCAACGAAAAATCCAACATGCGGTACCGCAACCTGCGGCACGGGCTCTCCGCGGAATGCGATCACGAAACAGCAGCCGCCGCGGCATATGCGCGGTATCGTTGTATCGCTCTCCTAATCGCCAGACTCGTGTGTTTCTCGCGCTCGTAATTTATCAACCGCTTTCTCGCGAGGTATTTCCTAAGCTTTATTAGACGAGAGCCGTAACGACGAGGATGACCCAAATTCCCCGAGTCAATTTTTTTAATTTCGCTGCCCTGCAGATTTCGTCGAACTTGAGGGACCTCGAGATTCTCAGGGGAGAATCTCGAGGTAACACTATGCAGGCTCTTGTACGTAATCCGGCATAATGCACCGAGAGAGAGAAAAGAAATCTAATTAAAATTATAGAATTACTTTTAGCCCCAACTATTTTTGTTTTTTTAGTAAAGTGGCAGTAGTGACATGCATATTAGGTTATTATTACTAACATTATAATGGAATTTAATATAAAAAATGATTTTTATCTTAATTTATAGTAGTTTTTCTCTGTGTGATTATAGTTACAAATAGTAAACATTTTTCTCAATGCCTTAATATTTTAACCCTAGTTTCAAGGATGTTAGAAATATTTATTTACCGCTATTATGTTGAATCTTTAAAAAGGATAAAAATTATTTAATATTTCATCATCTTAATAGTCCACCTGCATTTAATCTTCATACCCAATTTTAGCATACAATTTATTAATCATGCAATTTACTTCACTGCAGTAGCAGATATTAAATAATCTGATAAAGATTAATATGTAAGTAGGTAAAGGAAGAAAAAACAAATTTTTTCTTCCACAGTTTTTTTATTATATTTTTTATTAACGTTGGAGATTTCAACAGGATTTGAAAGTTCAAAACGAATGAAAAAGAAGGAACTGTAGATTATCGGCTGCGTTCTACATTCTGTTCTGGAATCAGTCTCTGCTCGTTATCACGGCCAGATATTCAATAATGCCACAGAAAAATATAATCCGATCGAGAACGCGGCGTTATCTAATTACTGCTTGTTAACTGACAACCATTGTCAAATGCTATGAGCGACGCTTTCTATACGCATCGCGTGTATGACTGTCTTAATTAATTCATAATTAATAATTTGATGATTCGACATACTTTACAAACGTTATCATGAGTTTTTGGTCACCATATATATATTTCGCTTTTGGTCACCATATATATACTTTGGTCACCATATATATACGCTGAGTTTTTGGTCACCACATACAGGGTGTCCCGCGTAAGACGGACCAAAAGAAAAATATAAGTAGAACACATAAAAGTGAACAAAAATTATATGGACCATTTTTCAAACAACCACGTAAAATTTCGAGATATTAATTAAAATAGTTGAGCATATCAGAGCGCGGCGACACGGCAGACGGGACATACGGCTCGCCGCGGCCGGCGAAGAAAATGGATGATTGCTCGCGGGCCTATCTTATAGGCCAGAGAGGTGGGCCGTTTGGCATACTGAAATGAGTAGTTCCGTGTGTGCGTCCGTGTACGTGTGCGTTCTTCCATTTTCTTCGTCGACCGCTGCGAGCCGTATGTCCCGCTTGTCGCGTCGCGCGTTCTAATTTGTTCAACTATTTTAATTAATATCTCGAAATTTTACGTGGTTGTTTGAAAAATGACATATACAATTTTCACTTTTATGTGTTCTACTTATATTTTTCTTTTGGTCCATCTTACGCGGGACACCCTGTATATACGACTGGCACGCGATCTGTTTGCCCCACCTTGAAGGTACCCATTGTTTTGGTACCCGCGCGCGACTGTCTTGTTTTGTGATCGCGTCATTATGTCTCGAGCCGACGAGCGACGTACATACCGCGCCGTGGAGCAAGTGTATCAGTGACTTCCCTCGACTCTTTTCTCGCGTGATTAAAATATATCGTTGAAGTATCTAATTGTCGGCATCGCGTTATTTAACCCGCGCTACTGCGATCGAATCGTGAGTGTCAGTGCCGTGAACATTGAGTGTCCTGTGCCGTAGAACAGTCAAGAGAAGTCGCGAAACCAGAACGGAGGATGCAGAATGTAGGACACCAGGACGTGGGCAGCGATATATTTCCAAGTATGTCGTATTATTTATCACACGGTTTCCTATTTTAGGAAACGTTCAACAAACCCGCCGGGAATAATAAAATATCCGAGTCGAAATTTAGAATTTATTCTAAGATCGGAGTATTTTTTTTTCATAGTCTATCGTTGTCCATTGGATAAATAATTTCATGAATTTTTCATTATTCTTCTGTAAACTTACATTTATTTTAATTAACAAAAAGCATTAATCTAGCTGAATAAACAGTATATAATTTACAATTACAAACGCCGGTCCAAATTAACCAAATAGAGATTGCGTCGCTAATAATATTCTGTCTTTACAACCTTGTTGTTTTGTGATTTGAATTAAAATTTAAATTCCTGTTTACATGTTTACACAATCGCTGTATTTACTCGTGCAACTCTTTTCTTTCCAGCTTTTTAGAATATTTAAATCCTAATTTCCAACGTCAAAAGAAAAAAAAAACAAGGAAATTTTTAAAATATTTGTTGTGTTGATTTAGCATAAATTTTCTTGTTTGCTTACATTAAATGTTCAATGTGCTTATCACATGATTCCGCCTGCAGTTAAATCACATAACTGATACACTTATAACTTATTGCTTATTGCAATTGAGAATAAACATTAAACGCGAATAGAATATTGTAACGTAATTTTCGAATAAGTATTTTTTTCACACCTCTATATGAAAAGATAACAACAATAAATGATAATTTCCGGCGTCAATGTAAGACAATAGTTCGAATACTATCGTATCTCATAATTTTCTATTGATACGTCAAGAATCTGATCATATATTTGCAGAAATAATGTGTCATCTAAATTTCGACTCGACATCGATTTTTCGAATGCTTCCCACACGTGGAATGATTCGATTGTTCGAATTATTTACGCCGCGGTCTCATATACTTCTAATATTAATTAGTGAAAATATAAATTAATACGAACCAAACTAATTAGCCGATAAAATCAGATATATGTATTAGATTTCCGAGGAATCAAACATCTTTCTTTTATCATTTCAAAAGAATTGCGCCTGAGTTAAACTGAGTTTGTTAAAGTAGGACATAGGTGTGTTTTTAATGCACAGACGTATATCTAACTTCATTTGTCATCCAAGCGGAACTGACTTCCTCTTCTTCCCGATTTATTTGCACGGGATTGCGCGACCGGTATCGAAAACATACCTATTAATAGAATTTCTATTAAACGTCGATATCACACACCGCGCACAATCGGAAATTATTTTTCTATATTTTTGCATCTTCCGCTCTTTTCCTTCCGCTCTCCTCCTTTTGCTATCTCTTTCTTTCTCGTCGACCAAACCAAAGTTCAATCTATTCGATGCAACGCACACGAATTACGAGGGGTATTAAAATCGGCTTTTGTGTAGAGCGTACAGGTTCAGCCAAAGCTCAAGTGCTCTTTCTCTTTCTCTCTCACACATACACACACACACACACAAACACACACACAAACACACATACATACACACACACACACACCCTCTCGTCTTGAGTAAAATATGCAACGGCGCGTTGGGCGCGCGAGGAGCGTTTCTAGAGTAATATTATGACGCAATGCCTCATGTAATTTGCATCGCGCCATTATTTTAATTACAGCACTCAAGTTAAACGCGCCGCTATTATATGTAAACATTTTCCTCGAACGAAGAAGAACCACCTCGCTAATGTATACATGTATACACACGCGGGCTATATATGCGCCGCCCGAGCTATGCTAATGACTCGCTATTCCGAATTCTTGTTAACGTTGCAAATTATTTTCCGTCTAGGTCGCAAATGCAATTTCACGGGGAGCGTCCGCGGCGTTCGCTCGCTCGCCTGTTCGTTCGTTCGTTCGCCCGCACCGCTGCGAAGCACTATGGTACGTGTTACGCGTTGTTTAATTAATTGCGCTGTGCCTAATTTGTTGCGCCGGGGTGGACCGTAACAGTCTACGGCGAAAAGAGCGAGCGACGTAGCTAGTTCGGAAATTTAATCATCGGAAAACGCGTTCCCGTTCGGAAATTAATACAATGCCGC